TTAAACAAATAAGAGTACTGATTTGAAAAATGCTTTTATTTCTCAACATAATCTCCCTGTATATTGAGGCACTTGTCCCACCATTTCACAAGCCCCTGAAAACCAGAAGCATAAAATGCTTTAGGTTGATGTCTGAAACAGGCGTGTGCACAAGGCATGGCCTACCTCATAATGCATGGCAGGTTGCATGCTTCTGTTGAATGACCTCACAAAGTTTCCTGAGGATGTTACAGTAGGAGTCGGCATTTACGGTTCATCCTTGAGGCTGGAATGCGGTGAGCAGAATGCCTTCGTGATCCCAGAAGACTGTGAGCATCACTTTCCTGGAGGATGGTGTCACCTTAAACCTTTTTTTGGCAGGTGACGCAGGATGCTTCCACTGCATTGATGCATGCTTTGTCTCAGGCTGTTAATGGTAAACCAAAGACTCATCACCTGTAACAATTTGGGCTAGCATATTGTGTCCTTCATCGTGGTAGCGATTGAGGAGCTGTAATGCCCAGCACCACTTTGTCCACCACAAATCCCACTCGACCAGACGCAGGATCGAAACTGGGCCGCCACGGTGGGAAGCCAACGACTAACCGATTGAGCTATGGTGTGGCACTGAGGTAGGTTACTCTCTGAATAGTTATGCCTTTCTGTATCTGTCATCATTCTGCCAATGCTCATAATTGTCTCTTACTGCCCCAGAGGTCAGATCAGTTAACACGATATTACTATAACATTGGTCTCTGTTTGACACTTCTTCTCTGACTTAGCTCTTGACCACCTCAAGTAAGGAACTGAACTTATGTATAGAACATATCTGCTGCTTGGGGTTATACATATAGATGTTATAAAATTTATGTTGAAGCAAAGTAAAATAATCATCAACTAAGGAATTAAAATCTAATTACATTTCTCTTTTAGCAGTACAATAAAACTACAAAAGAAATATTATTCTACAAATAATGATCACTCATAACTATTGAAAGAGAATTATGACATCCTCTTCCTCCTCATTATCATCATCATCTCTTGCCCCCACCCCTTCTCTCTCTAGACCCAGCTAAGTCGGAAACTGTGGAATAAATAATTATATAAAAAGATTATTCATTAAACAGCACTGAAATCTAACATTTTATTTCTGACATTAATACAATATTAATATTTTATGTGTCTTTGCAAGGTAAGAAAAGTGAGTTTCAAATTTATCTTGAGATTCATCATTCTGAAAGAAAAAAAAACAGAATCTCAACATAATGACACCCACATTTTAAACCTAAAGCATAAATCAAAGGATGAGTTCTATAGGCTGCTCTTCAGAAAAATCTGAATGCCTGATATACTGTTCCCACCTAATAATCCAGTATTCATTATTTTTCTGCATATAAAAAAGGGATCTGCAGTAACTTCTACGGTATTACTTCAATGTTTGTTGTACAGCTTATGAAGTAACTCTCTGGTAATGGAATCCAAATATTTAATACTCCTAACACAGTGGCGTGCTGTGCATGGAAGCAAGGGAAGCATTGCTTCCGTAGTTTAGAAATGAAAAGAAAGAAGTCATCTTTAAATAATTCAAAATGAATAATAAGGATTTGAATATTGTCATTTAGCGCACGTTCCTGCTCAAGGCCACATGCCTCCTCCTCCTCCCTTCCCTTGCTTGGGGGGACGGACCAAGTTTCCTTTGTTAAACTCCGTAAGAATTTGTCGCACACGAAGTGGGCAAGGAAGCAACTTTCAGTTGCCTGTGATATGGAAGCAAAGGACTGTGTTCTTTCAATGGTTATGTGAAAATTAACTGTTTATGTGTGATTTCAGTCCTGTTGGGTGTTATAGGTAACCTTAAGTTTTATTAAAATATTGTAAGTGCATATTTATATGGCGTAAGATTGTATTTGTGATCGTATTTTGACGCATCAGAAAGAAGCTATCTGCATTTAAGGGAAGCAAGCCTGATATTGTGGTACAAGAGCAGGGGCATGATTAGACTACACACACAGAACACAACTAAAATTAATGCTGGCAGAGAACACGACTGCGATGGTGCAATCGAAAAGCCTTTTAAAATGGGGGTTTAATAGCAGGGACTTTTCTGAAAAGAAAATAATTATAGAAAGAGGATGACCGACATGAGAGGTGCCAGAACTTAAAGCACTGTACCACTTGTACCGTCTTACATTCTGCTACCACAGCACCATCACTCTCTGGCACCTTTCGGCTCCGTCTACCCTTCCTCAATCGGAGGAGGAAACGGTGCTCCGTCATACGGCTCTCATGCTGTGCTCGCACACTCCCTAAGTTAGAGTAAGGGATCCAAGCTAGCAGCGAGGTAAATCTAGTTACAAATGATGGCAATCAATATAATAACAAATAACAGAATTTAATAAACACAACTAACACATAACCAAAGACAAGAATTCATCGTCGTTACAGCGCACCAGCCCAAGAAATTAAACAGAACAACTCAACTAATTGCACATTTACATGCTCGCACACAGCGGCATCTAACTCGGGCAGAATGGCCCATATTTACTGGCGCAACAATCTGCCTTGGTTGCATGAAAACATAACTACTACTTTCTAGCCGGGCCACAGGTTGAGTCTAAACCAAATACACAATATAAATTATAAACACAGGTTTAACTAAACTGGTACGAGTCGCCGCCGTACTACAAACCCAACGACAGACGACCGCGGGCAATCTCGCCAGCCGCGAACCAGCCCACTACTTGCCGAAACCAATTTTGAACTCCAAGCCGAACAGGAATTTGACAATCACTCCGGCTGGCTCAGCGCCGCGAGCAAGGCCCTATGGATCCATAACCAGAACTGTCCTCCAAACTCAAATTAACTTCAAAGCAAGGCTCCCAGGGCTAGAAAGGAGGGGAGAGGGCAACACCATGTGACCCGGTCCCGCATGGGGAGGGGGTGGGGGATAAGTTTAAGAACCTCGATCAAGGGGCTGGAAGCCCATGACATCATACTGGAGCCAGTGCATGGCTCAGCACAAACCAAATTATGTGTGAGGAAATTTAATTTGGAACAGTATTCTAAAACAGAGTGGCTATCCGGTTGCTGTAATATAGGAAAATTGTTTTGTTGGCCTTGCCTATTGTTTCTCAAGGAAAAATATATATGGAACAAGACTGGGTTTGGTGATATCAAGAACCTTCACAAAGCACTGAAATGACATGAGAACTCTCAGACTCACAGTATTTCAACATTGCAACTTGTTATGTTTGGGAAATCTCGAATTGACTGTCAACTTGAGAGTCAAAAGCGCCTGACGATACTACATAGAGAAATAATGAAATGCTTGATTGATATCATCTGCCATTTAGGAAAGTGGCAACTTGGCCTCCATGGTCTTGACGAAAGTGTGGATTCTATCGACCGAGGTAATTATGTGGAATAGTTTACTTGTTGAGGAAATATGATCATAAACTCAATGTTCACCTCGAGAACAGTACAGTATTTACAGGTTTATCGAACAGAATACAAAACGACCTTATTGACTCAATAAGTGATGTAAATTTTGGTGAGTTGATTGCTATCAGTTCGTTTATTAGATACCACTGCTTCCCTTACCAAAAATAGTACTGCATACCACTGTCCTAACACCAAAGGCCTAGCCTACTTTGAGCATCTGCTAAATGGAAAACAACACAAAAACTTTACATAACCCTAGGTTTCAGTCAGAGAACCTCCTGAGAGATGTTGCTACTAAGCTAGCTAGCTTATCAGATATCTGTGGCATTTCAAAGCTACAACAGTCTTATCTACACATACAACAAAGAGACTTCTGTCTCCTCCCTTCGTACATATTGTTCTAGGGACACAAATCCAGAAGACTACAAATCTGGAAAAATTTGTTACATGAAAAAGTACTGCGATGTCAAAAAATCTTACCTCAGTTCCTCTGAATGTTCTAAAGTAAAGTAAAGTAAAGTAAAGTAAAGTAAAGCTATCCCTGTACCAGGCCATGAAGGCACATAGGGCTGTGAGACATTGAGGGTCCCACATTATCTAGACAATCGACTCAAAGATTGCGGTAAGGTTGGCAGCCTTATGCACCGGCCGCCCTTTACTCCCCAGGAAAATTATTTAATTAATTCCTGGTAGTCATTTCTGTTAGAGGCTGTGAATGTGATAAAGAGGATTCTGAAACTCCATCTGTATGGCTACATGTACACATGTATGTGCCCTTCATTTGTGCCCGAAGAGTTGAATGGATATGATTCATATTTAATATATAAGAGTTTATGCATCATGGGTCAATTCAAAGTGAATATGAATATGGTATGTATGACACAAACTCCGTCCTAAGTGCAACAATTTATTGTAGTTCTTTTGTCTTCCTTTCTTCTACACTACATGTTTCGGCCATAAATGGCCATCATCAGGTGTATACTCTCACGTAGCTGTTACACTGCACGTAGTTTAAAATTTAAAAACATCAGCTTTCTTAATTGTTCAATTATCCATTGTTAATAGGTCCCGATATATCAGAATCCTCTTAAAATTTTTAAAATGTAAAATTCGCAGGGATACCTGCTCAAGGTCTACAGTGTTGCAGCGGTTACTTCTTGCTTTCAGCACTGTTCGGGTATTATTCTGTGTAGGCTCCCTGTGTATGTGCCGCTGCTTATCTTTAATACGTGCTTAAATATAATATGAATATTGTAATCCCAAAAAAAGGCACCCTTCAAATGGCCTGTGAAAAATTAAACTGGCAGCTTTCTCAAAAACAGCTCTCACATATTTTGATTACATTTCAGTAATTTAAGAAGACCACTGTCCTAAATAAAACTGCATTTTGGTGTCATCAGGACAATAATGGTATGTGCACTAAGGGCCCAAATAGTTATATAATAAATACATGTCCTACCTTGCAAAATAAAAAAACAAACAGTGATATACTGAAAGGCAATCAACTAATTTCTGGTATAACATATGCAAGGTTATTCTTATATAAGGTATTATGTGAAATGTCCTTAGCTTTATGTTCATTAAAGCACCAGTTACTGGCTAGAGTTCTGAGTAAATGTTTCAGCTTCAGTCTCAGCCCTCAGTGATTCCCCAAAGCATGTAAGAACTGAATACACTCAGTTGTGAACATTAAAAGAATCATAATTTAAAAATAACACAGTTATATGGCCGAGGTTTGCAGAACACACTGTAATAAGCCAGCCATCATACTTGCAAGCAAAGGCTCCTAAGTCTGCTCATTGACTTAAAGATTTTACAGACAATATCTTGCATTTGTCTGCTACATGTGAAGTTCAATATTGGAGTGCTGTGTCTGTCTCATTTCATGTACTGTAAGTCTACTGCTGTTTGCACTGTCCAATTGGTTATGGCCTGACAAAATAGCTTCAACTCGCTGTCTGTTTCCATCTTCCATTTGTGTCCTGGTGTCACATTCACATACTGTCGATATGTTTGTTTGCTGAAATGGTTTGTTCTCATCAGCAGGAATGCTGCATGCTGGTGTAACAACTGCCTCCGAGTAGAGAGGTGGTGAAATGCCCCAAGTGTCAGGTACCTCAGACACAGAAATACACCAATGTACAAGACTGCAGCTTTGAATTGACCTTCTAAGTCTTACTACAATGTCAATGATCAGCAGTTGCAGAATAAAGCAATAATAATTTATTGACATGCAGGTTTTATAATGATAACATTACAATTAATCACTATAAAAACTTGTTCACCTTTGTATTCTTCACCAAATACTAGGGTGACCAAGCCAAGGATACTGGGTATGGCATGTAGCATGCATTTGTACAGCTGTTATTTATATAAAATGCTGGCTAAAAACCTCAAAGGAAGTAACAACTTGATATGGAAATATTAAAATGAGTCTTACAATTTGTCAAGCTTCTCAAGAAGGATTTTGCTCTCTGCAATCAAGATTCTTTCATCTAATTCAATTTTGATACAGGCTGGGCAATTTCACTTACATTTTACATGAAGATCTATGCATAATTTAAGATTTATTTCAATATGTAGGCCTGCTTCACAGGCAAAGAAATTCTTTTCCATCATATACGTAGGCTTTAATGAGATTTATACTTGGCTATGTACATTTTCATCATAAAGGATGATGCTCAAGATACTAATGAAATACTAACATAGAGTCCATGAATGTAGCCCTGTAATGTGAACTTTACTCATTTGTATAACAAAAGCAGTGCACCAGAGTGAACTGAGCAGTTATTAAATCAAGACCAGCCTTGCAATGACTGACAAACTGTCAAAAGAATCATACTCAAGATGAAGTAGCAATTAGAACCAAAGCATTTTACCATGTTATTCTGCACAAATCCCATGAGATCTCAGTTCAGTATCTGTGATTTCTGCAGAAAGTAATGATGAAGAAAGTGTTACTTACACAGTTCTGCACAAAGTAATGATGAAGAAAATGTTACTTACACAGTTCTGCACAAATTAATGATGAAGAAAATGTTACTTACACAGTTTGCACAAAGTAATGATGAAGAAAGTGTTACTTACACAGTTCTGCACAAAGTAATGATGAAGAAAGTGTTACTTACACAGTTCTGCACAAAGAAATGATGAAGAAAATGTTACTTACACATAACTGTACTACTGGAAGGATTGGGAAATTGAACAGGACAGCAATACAGAAATTTGAAGATGCTTTGGCCACATAACTAAAACCTCATAACAATTAAGTCATTTTTTAAATACATGGTTTTTATGTCTTATAAGCATAAGTAAAGACCTCTTTATATCTGATGAGCCAATTATGACATGGAAGTCTTACTGTACATGCTTCAAAGCATATTATTCACACAAAACATTAAAAAAAGTGCAAGCATATGGAGTATAGAAAAAAACTTAAGGTACCTCAAAGTCTGTGATGGTCTCCTGATATGGGGGCGGTTTTTCCAGTCGAATCTGACTGTTATCTTCATATCGTGGTGGTCGGTCCCTTAGCCGCTGGAGAATGAATCGCTGCATGGATGTCAGGCTACTCTCCTGCTCACGAAGTAAGGATGACAGGCGCCCATTAGATCCACTGCGACTGTTATGTCATGCAACAGTTAAATTAATTACTGCACTGCTGAAGTAACATTCTACAATGGCAAACTGTGGTATCATAAAGAGAAGTTGATGAATTCCAGGTGCCAGGTCATCATTGCTTTTACTTGTACTCCTTTCAAGGAGCACACACTTTGAATATCTGATCCTCTATTGTATGTGAAACTAACACTCGTTTCACAGGTCATGTTCAAAGTGTTTCTTTTCAAGTGCCATTTTAGAATATTCTCTTCACTTAATTTTTTTTTGGGCACAAATCTGTAATGTGTGGATTTTTATTTCCACACCTTTATATACATCTGTGATTTTGTGCTTAAGCACATAGGTATACGTGGTGTGTTCAAAAAGTATCGAGCCTTCTTTTTTCCCCGCGTAAACCAATGAAGCGTGGGAGGCTCCCTTCAGTGGAGATGTGGATGGGACATTCATGAGCAGTCGTGAATTTTTTCCAGCCCCCTGAAAGCGTCAGTCACTGGCAGTCGGCCTATGAGTGAGGACGTGTAGTGGGCGCTCGTCGGATTCCAGTAAGGTGTAAAATGACGGAACAACATGAGCAGCGATATTGCATCAAACTTCGCCAAACGCTTGGTGATAGCCAAGTTGAAACCATTCGCAAGATTCAACAGGCTTTCAGGGACGATGCCATGAGCAACTCATGGATAAAGGAGTGGTACAACTGCTTCAAAGATGGCCGCACATCAGTGGACAGCAAACCGCGTTCAGGCAGACCCTCAACAAGCCGAAATGAGAAATGTCATTGAGCAAGTGCGGACTTTGGTCATGGAGGACCGTCGTATCACAGTCCGAGAACTTGCGAATGAGACAGGGGTAAGCATTGGATCGGTACATTCAATTTTGACTGAGGATTTGGGTATGAGGAGAGTGTCCGTGAAATTCACACCGAAACTGCGCATCTGATTCAGACTTTCATCGTCAAACACAACATCCCTGTGGTTCATCAGGCTCCCTACTCCCCCAACATGGCTCCATGTGACTTTTGGCTATTTTCCAAGCTGAAAATGCCACTGAAAGGAACCCGATTTGAGTCAAGAGAAGACATCATGCGGAATGCGACGGCCTGGTTGACCACCATTCCAAAAGACGCGTTCCAGAAGTGTTTCCAACAATAGCGGAAGCGCTGGGAGAAGTGCGTGCATTACCAAGGAGACTACTTTGAAGGGAATTAGGGTTTTGTACCTCCAAATCAATAAATGTATTTCTGCCGACCAAAGGTTCAATACTTTTTTAACACACTACGTATGCTTCTGTGAGTCCACAGAAAAATCTGCACCAATCTCAGTGAGTCTAGTGTTTTAACCTGAGACACCAAATATTACTTACACACACAGATACATGTGTGATGCACAGAACTGAAAGTTTCAGTCTAAAAGTTTCAGAATTTGGCTTGTTCCATTTTGCAGTACATAATACAATTAAAATAGATATTCTCACAGCACACTTTCCACTGATCCATCAATATAAACTCACTGTGGACATGTCTTCCAGAACAAAGCTGCAAGGGCCAAAAAAGCAATAGTAAGGGCTGATCCAAGTGCCACCTGGGCAGCCAAAACAAAGGAATCACTAAAACACAAAAATATATATGTAAGTATTTAAAAATAAGTTGGATTTGAGGTTCTCACAGTGGGATCTGTGAAGAGAAACATGCTTATACAGAATGTTACACGTGTTCTTTACCATAATGTCAGATTTAGTGGTTAATGTCTCAGACAAATCACAAGGTCTTTTCAAAATGCCAGATATATAAAGCTACTTCACTTGGAGAAAAAAATCTTAAAATTTTCAAAATAGATTGCTATAGTTAAAACAACACAACAGTGTTATGCAAAACATTGGTAACCAATATGAGGCAATGTAGTGCAGTACAGTAACTCCAACAAATCCAGTATTTCTGAATGATAAATGAATGCTAACAGTTCACCATCGTCATCCTCAACTAACTGCTCTTTGTCTTATTAAGACATCATTCAATTCCACAACATGGATTCAGAAGTTCAGTGTTAATAAGTAATTTCTTGACATGCATATGATGGTCAAGAAGTTGCATGAAAGTTACCGCCTTCTGGGATGTGATGTGTAGTCTGTAGATTATTACTAATATTTTAGAGAAATATTTCAAGTAGTAATAAAAAGGGTCTTAAATTTGATTTCTAAATTCTTCATTTTTGTGTAGCATACAAAAACAGCAATTGTATATATTATTACATATCTCATTTTATATATTATTTTATATTTACATTCTTTTTATTCTTTACAGGAATATTTTGGTTAGAAATCTTTTTACGGTCCAAGTAGTTGTCTTGCTTTACAATTAAAAGAAGACAAGGTTGTCAGTCTGTGTTCTGGTTTTTAGATGCTTATTTTAGATATACACAGTTTTTATATTACTGTATACTAGTCTTTATTTCAATTTATTATATAATTAATGTATGTTAATCAAAACTCATTAATGACATTATGTTTTAACTATTGAATTTTTAATTAATAGACTTGCATAAAACTGTACAAATTGTACAAGGTTTGCCATTACTTTTACTACTAAAATTAACTTATTTATTATATTGCATACGTTTATCAGTAGTTTATACAAATGTGCATGCTATTGGATGACAACTGTAATCCTTAGTGGTGACTGTAACTAGGATGATCTCCACATCCGCATGAGAATGTACTCTCGACAGGATTTACGGAAGGTGAATAAATGAAATGAAATGAAATGTGGCCTATAGTTTTGGTTTGGGGTACCACTGAAACCCTTTTGGCTCTTAGTGATCTGGGGACAAAAAGGTATGGCAAGCATTATCCTAGATAAAAAGATGTCTCCAACAGTGACACTTACTTGCAGTTGTTCCAACAGACACAATGATTCCCAACACACCTGTATCTATTTGGAGGATAGCAGCAACTTGTACATTGGCTACTTGGGCCTATCAACACCAAACCAAAACTACAATTAGCATATTCATGTTCCTGTTAAACTACTCGTAACAGTGGAAAATGTATCTAAGCACTGCCATTATTATAGAAGTTATGGTTGTATAAACAACTGGAGAATGTGAAATGTTTTAAATATTTGGGTAGCTTGTTAACAGATGATGGAAGGTGTACTTGTGAAATTAAATCTAGGATTGCCATGGCAAAAGCTACATTTAGCAAGAAGAAGAATCTTTTTACCAGCAAATTGGACTTAAATTTGAGGAAGAAACTAGTGAAATGCTACATTTGGAGCATGGCTTTCTATTTGGCTGAAACTTGGACACTTAGGGCAGTAGATCAGACACACCTGGAAAGCTTCGAAATGTGGTGTTGCAGAAGGATGGAGAAGATCAGTTGGACCGATTATGTGAGAAATTAAGAAGTGTTATTTAGAGGAATATCCTACACAAAATAAGAAAATGGAAGGCTAATTGGATTGGTCATATCTTACGCAGTAACTGCCTTCTAAAAGAAGTTATTGAAGGAAAGATAGAGGGGCAGATCGAAGTGACCAGAAGACGAGGAAGAAGACATAAGAAGATGCTGGATGACCTTGGGGACAGAAGAGGATACTGTCATTTGAAGGAGAACGCTCTAGATCGCATTAAGTGGAGGAATTGTTTTGGAAGAGACTGTGGACCTGTCATCTGACAGATTACTGATGAATGAATGGCTGTATAACTGCTTCTTGGGGGTCTCTATAGCATAAGGTATGGACACAAATTTGGTTCTAGCTTGAAGTTAAAAGTAACAAGTCTGATATTTGTTTACTTTTATGTATTAAAATAATTTCTAACCTGGCTGAAGAGATTTATATGAAATGTTGTCATTTAATAATCATATTAAAGAAACAAATTTTGATTCATGATATTGTTAACATTTGTTATTTAATTACATTGTCGGCATCACGACAATTTAGCGTCAATCATGGGCTGATTATTGAATATGAAGCAGTTGGAAGAATAAGCATTGGCAGCGTAAACCTGCCTAAGTGTCATTTTGTCCACCATAAATCCCATATGACCTGATCTGGAAAGGAACACATTTCACCATGGTGGGAAACCAACAAATCTGTATTGGATAATTCACATACACTACATGAAACACCAGATTCTGATGTGTGAGGGGAAAATGGGGAGTAACATTATGTCTGAATTAAATTTACTACTGTTTGCTTTTCATAAAATCCAAGCCCACATTGAAATATGTTACTCATACTATTCAATTAAGGCAATCATTTGAACTGAAATTCAAAATTTTCACTTGTGGATAAATTGTAATTATATTTCAATAAACTATGGCTGTAATTAAAAGTGGGACTTCAGATAAAATCAAGCAAAGATAATGCCATATTAAATAATTTGTACAAGTGATGTTATATGGAATTGGTAACCAAGAGGAAATGTTTACCTTTTTTAAGCTAAATATTAGAATTTCCTTATAAAATCCAGGCTTAAAATTATCCCTTTGATTTATGTAACTAAATGATGTAAAATTGTACCATAATTTTCATGTCTTCAATATTACTGTTTTTGAAGAAATGGCTCTCCATTATCTTAAATGAACATGTGTTACTAATAATGATACTGTATACTGTTAAATCCACTTTTCTCATTAGAGTGCTCACCAACAGCAAAGGCCTATAACAGGGAAAGACTAAAAATAAATACAAAACTAAAAAAAAATATAATAAAACAAACTCAATAGGGTGACACAAACATAAGGTATCTCCCTGAGAAACCAGGTTACAAAAAAAAATTATAAATACTATTGCAGTAGTGGAACACTCAGCTGAAGCATTAAATGTGACAGCTCTATGTAAGTAAAAATGGAAAATTTCGTAACTGATTTCTTAGGTAGAGTACATGTAGATTAGAGGCATCCCAAAAGGAGTGAAAAATAATTTGACCTTAATAATATTAATATGAAATAAAGTATCCAAAGTGATGATGTTATTATATATATCTGCATCTATGCCTTACAAAATTTAAACTTTTAATTGCCTGGAAAAAAACTGTGACATATTTTTTAAAGTAAGAAATTGTCATTTTGTTAAGTTATCCAGTTTACTTCCATTGCCATATTGCATGAATTGTGTTACATTCTGCATTTATGAAGTGCCTGTTTCACATAATACATAGGCCCCAGTTGCATTCCCTGTCACTTATGCTAGAAAAATGTGCATGGTCTTCATGAAATCTGTACACAGTGTTTCTAGTTAAAATTTAAGCTGAGTTTAAGTTAAAAATTGTTGAATATTAGGAACAGTAACCAGAAGAGGAACAGAATTTGGCAGAAACAAGAACTTTACACAAAGAGGTTGTATTTATAATCTGAACCAATTTTGACACAATATTGCAGCTTAGGAGTGGAAACTTCCATGGATTTAAAGGGGTAGTCAAATATACACAGATATATACTTTCCAGTGACATAACTTGAGTATGTTCCAGAGCCCACTGGTCACAGAAGTGAACAAGTTTGTTGGAAAACTTATTAAACAACACCTGATTACTGCATGTGTATGATAATCATAACAATGAAATATTATATCATTACTTTTCACTTTATGATATAATTCACATATTTTTGCACTTTTGTTTTAAAATTTAAATATTATTGCAAAAGGGAAGGTAAAATGTGCAAATAAAAATAATGTTCCCCTCTGCAAAAATAATACATGGCAAGACTTTAATAAATGCTAACAGTGAATGCTATAAAAAGCAATACAATAGCTCTTTCTGACCTGGGCATTGTTTGCATTTATCTTCACCATACTGATATCCACTGTCACATTCACATGAATTTGTCCTTGCGTTGCATGTTGAATATTCTACACAGTCTGAACTTCCTTCACAAGTTACAGCATCTGAAAAAACAAAGGAAAATATTAACACATTCTCAACATTAAATTTGCATTGTCAACATAATCTGAAGCTTCAGAATTAATTCCATAGGTTTTTAATTCACTCACTCAACGGATTCAATGTACTATTCACTCCCACTATCACAGATCAAAAGATGGCATGAATAAACTTGTTACCTAGCACAAATGAATAGCACGTATTTTTAAGCAATATGAAAAAGCACCTCTTTTAGCTACTAGATTTGAGAAAAAGAAAGGGGATTGTTGATGTTACTATAAACATATTTTCCTTCTTTCCTCTTGTAAATCATCTGTTTGTAAATGTATGACGTTTTAGTCAAAGGATAAGTAAAGTAAAAAGTAAAAGTAAAGGTATCCCTGTAATAGGCCTTAGAGGCCCTTAGGGTTACGAGATGTTGAGGTTCCAACATTTTCTAGACAATCAGCAAATAGATGGCATTAAGGTTGTCACCCCTACGTGCCTGCTGTCCTTTAACCCTGAGAATATTCCAAGAATATTCCTGGTACTCATTTCTATTAGAGGCTGAGTCAACCCCAAGGCCATAGTGCAGCTGGAAGGATTACGTAAATTGAAAAAATCCAATGACCTCATTAGGATTCGATCCCGCGGCCTTCCAGCTTGTAACATAGTGCCTCAACCAACTACGCTACCGTGTATGCCGATAAAAGGATAAGAAGAAATCAAATTTTGCAGTTGAGTGATTAGCCCTCCTGCTTCATATTTAAGAGGTCTTGCTTTCAGATCTTGGTCCAGAGACTGGTTATCTTGACTGGGTTCTCTTCATGGTTTTCCAAAGTTCCTCCAAGCAAATGCTGGGTTCTGCTACACAGATCTCTAACAGATATGCACTATTCCTTGTATAGATTATAATCAGCTGCAGTGCAACCTACATTAGGGTTTTATGAGTTTTTGTACAGGCATCTTCATAATTACAGGAATGATTTATTCTTTTATTCACTCTCCTTGTATTTTGTGGTCTCAATATTTTATATTATATTAATTTAAAACAAAAAATTCTGAACCCCTTTTCAACTTCATTCTTATTATTTTTTAACATTTAAAATTAGATATATAATCCTTTGCGTGTTGTTATCAAACATTTAAATAAAAATGACTCTCAACACCAATATTACATTTTCCATTTCATAATAAGACAGACCTTCTTACATTTTTATGAGTACCTAATGCTTTATTTATGCCCACAGTGTGAAAAGTAATGTATCTGCTACATTTATCCACGCACTTCAAACAAAACATCCTTCTGTATATTACAGTTGTTACTTATGTTACCAAATACTAATTATGAATGGGGACAGAACTTGGCAGCAATTCAACATATTCTGAAGTAAGTAGTTTAGTGTCAATCATTGCAACAAAAAACATCCTATAGGTAGCATAAACGCTTTGTGTATACTGTTTTTCTCCCAAGTTTTGCAGTGTCTTAACTTCAACAGTCTTTCTATGAGGTTAGGTATTTTTGACAAATTTTCTTTCCGACAATTTTCCCTTAAAATTTAAATGGGTTTTACTCCAATTCAATATACTGAAAGGGTTTGGCATGTGAATACACACATGACACAGACTAGTAATGAAATTTGGAGCCCAAAAACTAAGAAAACAATTGAGGTATGACATGTGACATGTCACATAGTTTTTGTGAAAATTATGAACAGGAACTTATATAAATCACCATAAAACACTCACAATTGTTCATCACACTCTCCCGTTCCTGAGATACAACCACAGTTAAAGAACAGACCATTATTACAAAGATCTCCATGATGGTGTCCACTTCAGGTGTGGGGGCCAACTATCTCACTTGTAAGGCAAACTGATAAGATAACAGCATTGTCAGAACCTGAACAGCTGGTCTCAAGGATATCCCCATTATTGCACTTGGTTGCTTTGCATATCAAACTGTGGCCAGTCACAAAGCTGCCAGCACCATCCTTTATTTGAATAGTGAATCATATTATGAAAAGAGGTTGTTCATAGCATCACAGATGCCCATCTTCCTCTCATGGATTCAGTACCATAATTATTGTATTTTCATTTATATTCCAGTTAGTTAGTAGCAAGTAGTAACTCACAGACATTTTAAGCTATGATAAAGGTAAAAAGCAAAGTTGTCCCTGTGCTTAACTAATTAAGTACTATGCCATGAAGATCTGTGGGGGGAATGGATGCATAGATCTACATATTCTTGACCTTGGCACTAGTTGGAGGTGAGTGATCAGCTTCATGGCCAGCTGCTTCACCAGCAAAGAAAGAGCCCCTCATTACCCATTGGATAGGAGGCTGGGTGAGCGGTAGAAGTGGTCTGGATGACATGGAGAAGAGAAAAATCTTACCCTTACCGAGACTCAACTCCAACCCCTTGCTGTCCAGCCTGTAGTCAGTCACTATACCGACAGTACCATCACAGCTCCATTTTAAGCTATGACTGTACTAAAACCTTACTCAGTGAAGTCCCAGATCAGAGAAGTCCTAACTAAAGGCTATCACACACTTCATATATTGTGACAAATATGCAGTAAGGCATAATATAGCAGTATTCGAGCTTCAAAAAACAGAATATGCTATAGCTTATCTAAATTGCAATTTGATTACCAGCAGCCACAGGATAAAAGATTTGTAAACTTGAACTCATAACACATAAAGAAAATTTAAAAAATTGTATCAAGATTACCGATTATACAGGATTCCTTTCTCTACCATAACCAAAAAATATTATAGGAATTACATCATATATTCTTTTTCAGAAGAATTAGACAGACACATAGCCTTGAAAATTCAGAAACTGGCTGAAGAAACTAAGAAGTATATGGCATTTAGGAATGGAGTGACCTGTAATGAAGTGATTCTCAACCTACTGGATCTTGAATCTGAGTGACCACTTTCTCAAGAAACTACAGTTCCTCCACAGCAAAAAGGGAGATTCTCTTTTACAAGAAATGCATTTTTACAATTATGTACATTTTAGTATTGTATTAATCACTTATGAAAGTTGTTAAAACAATTAAAAATTGAGGTAGTTTATGATAAAGTTTTATTGCTATAATTATGTAAAAATAATACAGCCCAAACTCAATAAAGACTTTCTTTTGTCATTTTCTAAATTTTGACTGTATTCTGGAAGCCATGGTTGACTGCTGAATATAAGTGTTTAAAAATGTGCTCATAATATCCATTTAAATTACCCTGAACAATGTAACACCTATGGAAAAAATGTACTGGACACAAAATATGCTTAATTTTTCTATACAAATTTTTTGGAACACTTTTCTCTCTAACAAATATTTGACAAGATATAATCAGAAACACATGTACACTTTCATGTAAAGTCATCTAATGTATCTGTCCAGTGGTCGTAGATCTGTTCCATGCATGCAGGCTGAGCAAGCTTAATACAAACTCCACAATGTTACAAAAAAAAAATGACTGCAGTTGCAACATCAGACATGCAATACCTGAAATTCATACACGTATTTTCAAGATGAAATATTAATGGTATAAAGCAGCGTACCTTAATCGATGAACTGAGAAATGAAGATAAATAGCAGCTGACTGATTAGAACACATGAATATAACATGTTGCCAAATTAAGGGAGAACACAATTTACTGGCTGTCCTACTAACATTCTGTACTGTAGCTATTTGTGACTTTATTTTGTATGCGTAAACATAATTGGAAGTGTTTGTACTTGTACTGCAAATTCTATGACAACATCTTTTATAAAAATTGCAAGGTACAAATAAACCATACTGCTGACTTTAATTTAAACAATCTTTTCTCATTACATTTTACCATGAATATACAATTCCTTATTAGGTTATCCCAGGCATTTTAGTATGCAGGAACCTTAACCAACAACCTCTCTCCCTCATTAAATGCAGTCTGCTTGCCACCTGCTTTCACACTGGTATCTTGCTCAACTTATTCAACTCTGAAGATGTGAGGCGTTATCTTCCTATGAAATGTCAACTTGCTTTCGGACTACATGGCATTAGGTCTTCAAATACATTCAAGACCGTAGAGCACAAACAATGAAAATAACTAGTAGTTTGTGACACCTGAAGTTATCAGGACTCTTCTTGGATATGAGTCCATGAAATCTCGTACACAGGTATCACTCTGGAGGAGGCTGTTGCTTCTGTCTTCAGGATACAAACAGAATCATTCATCAGCCAGACAACATAATTCTAAAGAAATTGTAGAAAAAATTCCGAAACATTAAAAAAACTTGAGGATACAAAAACTGATATACTGATTGGTCATTTATACATTATAAATGAATCAAGTACATGCATTATGTTTTAGTGTGATGAATTCAAGAATACAGGGTCTAGAATATAATTTCTCTTTCATGTCATAAAATTTCACATAAATCAGATAACAATCACATGTCTTCCAAAATCCATGCTCTGAGTTACTCTTCTCCCATTTTTTTCAAATTTTTATTCTTTATTGCAAATGGTAAAACAATTCTGTCCAGTGTGACTGTTGAAGCTTTTACTAATTCACTTCTTAGCACCCTAACATGTTTCGGTCTCTATAGACCATCATCAAAGGGAACATCAATACTTTTAGAAACCACTATTACATTGGGTGTTTTGATTTTTAATACATAAATATACAATATTTGTAATATATACTTTATACAAAATCCAAATTTCTTACAACTACAGCAACTGTCCTTGATGCATTAAAGTTTTTTTTTTAACTTTTTGTTATTTAAATTAAAATTCTTTAACTGAATAGGTTCGTGTCCCTTGTCCTTTCGTTTTTCTTGACGGGGCGAACTTGTGCCGCCTGTCTTTCTTGGGAAGGTAGTTCTGGTTGTCATCCTGTGTTTGTTTGTAGCGTGTTGTGTTGTTTATTCTTTCTGTATTCAGATGGAGGTCATCATTAATTAATATCCCATTCTCATATTTTGAAGCAACACTGAAAGCATAAGCAGCATAAGTTTGTGTTCCATTCAAAATGGAAGATGGAGTACAGGAGTACAGCAATCATTTCTCTAACTGAACGGAGATATAAACCAGCTTTGAGAATATAGCTAAAATCTTTGTCCACAGATACGCTTTTTTTTTTTTCAAATGGCTTGCATGCATATTACTTCACCATAGCAATTTTAGAATATAAGGCAAAGTTGTCCCTGTGCTTAATTAATTGAGCACTACGCCATGAAGACATAGAAGGGAGTGGAGGTATTGCTCCACCATTCTTGAACTCGGCAGTAGATGGAGGTGAGTGGTCAGCTTCGTGCCCAAGCTGCTTCAGCCCCAGGATCCACTGGAGAGAAAGCTGGGTGAGCCCGAGAGCTGGTCTGGATGCTGTGCAGAAGAGAAAAATCTTGGCCCTAACAAGAATTGAACTCTGGCCATCCAGCCCATAGCCTGTCACTATATGTACTGAGCTATAAGAACTCCCTCAGAATCTAAAACATAAATTCTGGACACAGTTATTAAAAGAACTATAATTTCCCTGATATGAAGCAGATGTTCAGAGAACTTTCCCTGTTTAAGGGTTACATTTTATTGTCCATTTACAACGTAAGGGAGGGATAAGGATTGGTGCAGAGAAATTCTGCAGGTTTAAATATTTCAGTTTGTATTATTTTCACAATTTGTACAGTAAAGTTCCCACTTCTGAACCACACGTGATATCTCATTTTATTTATAACAATATTGCTTCTTAACCATCAACGGAATGGTTGTTTCACACACCAGATGTCCCTACATACTAATGTCATTATGAAACAATTATAATTGTATCAGATGTCACAGTATCCAGCTGATAATTAGTCTGTGAGTGACACCAATGCCTCTACAACATTTCCATGATGCTCTCGTAATGTGCGTTCTGCCAGGCTTCTTGAAATTTCCATTTCTCGCATCTGGGGGGGGAAAAACACAATTACAAGAATAAGAACTGAACTCTTACACCACACAGCAACCACATACATTGTCTCTTGCTGGATAAATTGTATGTCATTTAAAGATGCCGTATAGACTGTAAGGAGTGCAAGGGTTACTTAGTGTCCAACTAGATTATGAAAGTGTTTAAAAACTTCAGCACACAAGCTCCATGGGGGCACGCGGTACCATACTTGGTTGAGGCACTTTGCTACAAGCCAGAAGGTCATGGGATCAAATCCCAATGAGGCGGTTTTTTTTTTCAATTTACCTATTCCTTCCAGCCACGCTATGGCCCTGGGGTTGACTCAGCCTTTAACAGTAATGAGTACCAGGAATTAATTAAATAATTTTCCTGGGGAGTAAAGCATGGCCAGCGCATAAGGCTGACAACCTTACCGCCATCTTTGAGCCAACTGTCTAGAAAATGTGGGAACCTCAACATCTCACAACTCTATGGGCCTCCACGGCCTCTTACAGGGATAACTTTACTTACGTTTTACACCAGTTCCATTTCCTGAAAAAAATCCATATCTACAGTTATAACCCCTCTTCCCAAACGACTGTCTCCCTCACATGCCCCTTTCACTTCTTCAAAACACAAACTTCATGAAGTTCAATAACAGCCAAAATTTTACTTAACATTTCATAAATCACCTGATTTGTGCGATTCTTGGCCCAGTGTAAACTGACTTAGGTCTTTGCAATTTTTCAGCCTTTTTAGAAAAATAGGATAGTACCTCACAACAAGATACTGTAATTTTCTTCCAGAAACCACAACCCATTGATTGAACATTCATAATAACAAAAGTATAATGCACTTAATATAAAAGTTCTGTTAAAATGAAACCCATCCAGATTCTTCTGGGCATATGAACAGAGGCCATCAAAAATGTCCCTCATCCCACTCAAGCACCAACTAATGGATCCCCTCTGCAAAGAACTCCCTGGGTGGCTGCTGAAGCCACTAAATGACTGTGACCTGGCCAAATGCATGAATGGGCTTCACTTTAGTGATCCCCACATAAGCAGGAGCATTTAAAAAAATACTACTGGTCTTCTGATAAGAACGCTGCAACATATTATGCAGATCAACTTGGTACATTACAGACGAATATTTGAGTGCACACTCAATATGTAATAATGTTTTGAAACAGGCTTATCTAGTCTTTTCATCAACCAAAGGTCCCTACAATGTCACTACAATACCAGTGAATGTGCAACATTTCGTTCATTTAAACGCTCATAAAGGATCAGTGGCTCAAAAAGGTATGTTTTAAGAATAAATTAATTAAAAAATAAGGCCAACTGCACATTAACAGCAAGCAGATGGCGCTATAGATATTTCGGGTACCAACGCAGAATTAAAAAAAAAAAAAGAACATAAATGCTGAGAGCTTTTTCCACTTTTAATTTATTTATAATTGCAACTTCAGTGTTCCTGCCAATATTCCCTTTGTGCAATCCAGGGTTCCAGTAGAAGTATAAAAGAGCTACAGTGAAAGCATGTTGATTGCAAGGACACAGATCTTGTATTCTTGACAAAGAACTGAGATGAACCATTCTCATAGTAATCTGCCACCTGTCATTAAGAGTGAAAATAGAAATGAGAGAAAGAATGAAAGGTGTAGGTAGGAGGATGGGATGAAGAGAGATACTGCAGGAAACGCAGAGAGCAACTGATAAGTGGTAAATTACACACTGAGCTCTTAAGATCCAAAACAAAGAAAATAAAAACCTGAAACCTTATTACAAAATGACTGCTTCTTGTATTGCTAAGCTTTTGGAGGTATTTCACTGAAGTTGAGGGGAGACACACTGGAGGCTATAAAAGCAGATTCTGTCATTCTAGGAGAATTGACATCCTTTACCTAGCCATGGTAAGTCTGTACATTAAGTTACTTAAAAAGCGTATTTGATTTTGTATGACCTAAGCTGCAAGAAAAGACTGCAAGACCATCCGTTAGAAAGACGTGCACCTGAAATTTTAATGCACACAATCAAATTTTAAAATGAATATATTACTAAGGATTTCAAAAACTGACATAACTTAGGCACATACCAGAAGAGAAGATAATTGTGTACAGAAACTTATTTCACACACAAACTATTACTTCCCCACTGATGAACAACAGAATATAACATAAGAAGACACAGCAGTTCTTAAGATTGAACACGTAAATTTATTCATGTGCATTTTATGCAGGTTAATTTTTGACACGTCCTCTCTTGTTTGTTGGGTATGCTGCACCATCAAAATAACATAACTAAGTGGATGCCAGCGGGTCACGGTAGCCGAGCAGTCTAAGGCATGTACTGTCTTCACTCGCTCGGAAACCGGGATCGTGGGTTCGAATCCCACTCAGGGCATGGATGTTTAGTTTGTGTGTGTGCGTTTTTGTGTTTGTGTACAGGTAGAGGCCTTGCGACGAGCTGATCGCCCGCCCAAGGAGTCCTACCGTATGTCTAAGATCTAGAAAAACTGAAGTCAACGGAGTTCATGGAGGTAGGCCTAAGCCCACTGGGGCTGTAGTGCCGGGGGGGGAGGGGAGTGGAGGCCAAGGTACAGAACATAAATGACACGTCATGGGAATTTCTTAATCATGTGTTCCACAATTATTACAACATTAATAAGAGAAAGGATGATGTCAGATGTACGTTAGTGAATTCCATATAATTACTGTACAACTGTACCTACCAGCCACTGTTGAATACTACATCCCAATGGAAAAGCCGTACTACAGATCTCCTGTTTTAGTCATCTTCCAATCAGTCCCTTTGGTGCTACTTTCCAAAAGGAAATATAATTTTACCTCTCATAACTAGTTCGCAATCACATAAAACTAAAAAATGAATAACTGTTTATAAGATGAAATAGTTAGAGGCTTTGAAGGAAAAACACCAACTGACACTTTTAATCACATTCTTCTCATTTCATCAGTGTTTTTCATCCTCTAATATTTATACAAAACATTTGTATTTCATTCGAATTCATAATTTTGTGTGGAATTATAATGGGGTTTACATTATGGTAATCTGGGCCTAATTATTCCAGAATTTATGTTTCATTCATAGAATAAGTTTTTCTTTCAAATTTAGCAATACAATAAAATAACGTAACTTACAATTAAATCAACGTCTTCTTTCTTGATTGACACTTTTAAGAGTTCTCGTTCCTTTGCCATTTTTTCGGCCGCTTCTTTATTACGTCTATCACCAATGATTGTCATTGCCTGAAGTAAAAAAAGTTGTAGCAATGTTATAAAATATCTGTACAAAATTAAAAGACACAGAAGTTACACATCTTTCCTTCTTCATACTACATTATAATGCAGAAACTACCACTAAATTTTACAGTATACAACAGATTACTCCTGCTTTTAAAGTACACATGGGTATGACAACCCAAATTTCAACAAAAGTTAGAAATATTTTGGGACTTTGTGGGCGGTTTCCACAGAGCAGAAAATCAATACAAGTTCATACCTTACTCCACACTCTTATAACATCACACATATCAAAATTGAAGGTAACATAAACCATAAACTGCTGGTACAAAAACATTATGAACACATTTCGTAGCAAAATATTTTTTTACGGTGTGTTGCTAGCCCTACGCCCAAACCCGAAGTTGGAGGCCCACCCTTTGTCCGCTGTCCGCGGCTGCTTATTCAGTATAGTTGCACAGACCCTCCATATCTGAAGGCCGTCTCTTCAATCTGAAACTAGCGGACGCTCCATGCAGTGATGACAAGGGATCCACTTAACATAGACCAAAGAGACCACTAGGAAGAACCAGATATAGGTGGAAGGATAATATTAAGATGGATCTTAGAGAAATAGAATTTGGTGGTATGGATTGAATTCATACGGCTCATGTCAAGGATCAGTGCAGGGGTCTTGAGAACACAGTACTGAACCTTCAAGTCCCATAAAATATTTGGTAAATTCTAGACTACATGAGCGACTGGCCGCTTTTCTAGGACTCAGCTCCATGAAGTCGGTTAGGGGCGATCACTTGGTTACCACGTGAAACTTACTCCTGAGAGATCGGCAGTAAATATTTCTTTCTCTTCCGCATAATCTGTAACCTTCTCAAGATCTGCTGCTCCACTGTCATATTTTGCTGTTTTTTTCTGCGACTTCTCTTGCTGAACTTCATCGGAATCACCACCAATATCACCGTTCGCCTCATCGTCCGCCATTGCTTTCAACTTCCGATGTTCAATTTTTTAATTTTTTCCAGGGGTACCGAGAGAAGCAGTGTGCGTTATACCGGTTATACCCGTTATACCGGACACGGATCAGAGCTCAGGCCGAACTGATGTAGTGAGAGGCAGAGCATACTGACGTAAAATTAGGTGGTCCGTGGTTTTAACCGGTTCTGATCCAGCTGTTTACGCTATGTACTAAAATGAGGTTTCACGCTATTAAGAGAGATTAGGATCAATTAGGATCGGTTAGGATAGTGTGGTTTGTGATGTGGGTTTCAGCGAGTAGACTATCGATAATTAGGGAGTGATTAATTCACTTTACTTAATTTCAAGCTCGCTTTAAGCATCACCACTCAAAGTTCTACGAAAAAATGGACAAGATGGGTTCAGGAGAAGGACCAGATAATTTACAATACAGGTGGTGTCACCTTCGTAAGGTGTTGGAAAGAACCGGCCCCTTTTGCCATCCTGACTTTGAACCATCGCCAGATAATCTGAATTTTCTGATGGAATCGTGTAAACTTTTAGTTATTGGTGCTGGCGGGTTAGGTTGTGAACTTATGAAAGATTTGGCACTAATGGGATTTAAAGATATACATGTTATTGATATGGACACAATTGAGTTATCTAACCTCAACAGGCAGTTTCTGTTTAGAAGAAGAGATATTGGACAATCAAAGGCCGAAGTTGCAGCAAAATTCATAAGCACTAGAATTCCAGGTTGTCATGTCACACCACATTTTTCCAAGATTCAGGATTTTGATGAGACTTTTTATAGAAGTTTTCATATTGTGATATCTGGTCTTGATTCGATAGTAGCACGTCGTTGGATCAATGGTATGCTTATATCACTACTCTCTTACAAAGATGGGGTCTTGGATCAGTCTAGTCTCATTCCATTAATAGACGGAGGAACAGAAGGATTCAAGGGTAATGCTCGTGTGATCTTGCCAGGTATCACAGCCTGCATAGAGTGCACTTTGGATCTCTTCCCACCTCAAGTTACATACCCGCTCTGTACCATAGCCAATACCCCTCGACTACCAGAGCATTGTATTGAATATGTGAAGGTTATTCAGTGGTCCAAGGAGAATCCATGGGATGTACCTATTGATGGTGATGACCCTCAGCATATTAATTGGATATATGAAAAGGCTATGGAAAGGGCTGTGCAATTTGGTATCCAAGGAATAACATATCGATTGGTGCAGGGAGTTGTCAAGAATATAATTCCTGCAGTGGCATCAACAAATGCTGTAGTGGCAGCAGCATGTGCAACAGAGGTATTCAAACTGGCCACAAGTTGCTGTGTTCCATTGGATAATTACATGGTTTTCAATGATGTGGATGGTATCTACACATACACATATCAGGCAGAACGTAAGGAAGATTGTCTGGCATGTAGTCAGGTACCCACAACAGTGGACATACCAGGACCAGAGGCCAAACTGGAAGATCTCATCACAGTTCTATGTGAAAGCCCCAAGTTTCTGATGAAGAGCCCAGGACTGACTGCCACTATTGATGGCAAGAATCGCACATTGTACATGCCAACAGTTGCCAGCATTGAGGAGAAGACACGGGTGAATCTCAAGAAGTCCCTTAATGAACTTGGGTTGGAGGATGGTTCACAGCTTATGGTGGCTGATTCTACCTCTCCAAACACACTCATCATTATACTCAAGTTTGCCTCCCCTCCTGACTTTGAAATGGAATGAATTTAGGGTGTTGAAGCGGCAGTGTTAAACCAAAAGCACGCTCTTTGTGAACATATTCAAAACTATACTTTGAGAAGAGGCTCACCTTATGTAGAAGTTCTTTTTCCCCATGCATTCTAAAGAAATATCTAGTGTTGTCAAGAAAACTTTTTATACACAAATGTGATTATTACCATGTTCAGTTATTGTGACAGATTATTTTAAAGTGTTCTGTTATTGGTGAATTTTTCAGTGGCACTACTGACTATATTATAACTAGCTAGATGTGAAATGTGGAGAATATTCTCCAATTCTCCAGTCCTGATAGAATTGGGCATTGACTAGACTAGGGAAGTTAAAGAATTATAGTCTCTATGTTGATGGAAATGTGATCAGAAAACAGCAGAATTGAGCATTGCAGTCCAAAGTAGTTCTAGCAAATTGTGCATACAAATTTACTGCCATTATATAAAATTTCAGGTTTTACTGTGATAACCTGTCAAGAGGGACTGACACATTTTGTAGATGTATTCATATCAAAGTACCATGAAATAGTTTGTTCTTCACATCAGGGTTGAACTACTTGTATTAGCAGTAAAACTGTTTGCTGAGTTTCAAACTCATCTTATCTAATTTGTTTCTGACATCATCCATCATCTTGGCAAGTTCATGGTGACCTGACGCTATCAGCACTTTCTCTCGTGTCAGCTCTCGCAGATTCAGGGCTACGAAATCCTGCATGCTGTGTTGGGTAACTCTTAACTTCTCCTGCTGATCCATAAGGGACTGGTGGCCATAAGACACAGCTTCCAACTTCTGCTGGTCTTCCTTGAGAGAGTCCATCGTGTTGAGCTGACTGTGTGCAGAGTCCATGAATTTGTCGACTGTCATCTCTGAGAGAGCTCGAAACTGCTGGTTTCTGGCAGCATAACAAACGGCCCTGGCTCGGTTGTTCATCAGATGGTACGTATTCCACATGTATGGGTCCATCGAACTTGTGCACTCTCGAAGGCTCATTCTGCTAGTACAAGCAGAACGTTGCCAACCCTCTGTTAAAGCCTGACAATTCAGTAGAACCACGCTCTGCTACCATAACAAAAATATGGTTACTATTATATCATGGTCAGAACTGTTGTTGATGAAGAATGAATGGAAATACACAGTTTGACAGCAGTAGCAAACTTCCTTCTCAGTTTTTCACATTATAGAATCAAGTCCCAGAACTTTGTCTCCCCACAGTGAGAAGACAGTGTACGTGATCTGTATTATTCAGTGAAAATAAACTTTCCCAACTTGCTTATTAGCAGTATGAGGAGCATTGTGAGATAGTCTTCAAGGTACCTTGGATGAAAAAGAGGACAAAAACATAAAAGGAACAACATCATGTTGTAATATAAACATTGAACACCAGCGTCTGCATTAAGCAGGGCTATTAAAAGTGAAATGAATACTTTAAAAAAATAAATCATGTAAACAAGACAAGATGGGAAAGTCCATGTTGTGTGGAATGTGTCTTCATTAAGGGATGCTGCACCACTGACTGACTTGTTTTTGAGCTTTTGAAGGTTTTGCTGCCAGAGATGGAATGTAAACTCTTTCTTTCATATAGCCCCAAAGGTGTCAGATTGGAGTCATCTGTGAGGCCATGTCTGTTGACTTCTAGGCACATTCTCATCCCGAAATCTGTTACACAATTGTACAGGGGTGCAGTATCTTATTAAAAACATGTATTTCATCAAGCTAGGGCAGTCACCACTTTTCCAACATGTCTAAGTACAGAATGCCGTTTACGGATTTTTCGTTAAAGAGAAAGAAACTGTAAATATTAGAAAACAGAACACAGAGGTTTTTTCCCCCCCTTATCCCCACACTCTTTTAACACAAACACAGATGTCAAAATGGTTCCGAGTAAAACCTGTATGAGACAACAGATTCTCATCCCTTTCAATACTGTCCTTGGAGTTAGAATAAAATGTGAACCTTGTTATTTCATCTTGCATAATTACTCTGCACCAATTAAAGTATGTAGGGTCTGTTATGTTATTTTCATAAACCTGTTTTTCTAAAAACTGGTTATGCCACATGTAAATCATTTTTCTTCATGGATTATCTTTATGAAAACTGTTCCTGAACGTATACTGCCTAGATATAGTTGCATTTTTACTTTGGTCACCATTTTGTACAATTTATGTTCAGGGTGCCATGTGATACTTCAGGAATTAAAGGGATTAATGAAACAAACTCTCCGAACTACCTTCACACTAACTTTATTATTATGTTCATGCTACTTATAGTTTACTTGCAAGATGTTACTTTGATGTGTTGTTTTGTAATAACCCTGTGCAAATGTCTTTTTCTTTAATCCAGACAAATAAATGTCTTACTTCTATGAAGTTATACAGTGCACTGTTATGTGAAATATAAAACTCACTTGAAATTGAAATAAAATATTTAATACTGCCAAATAATTGTCTTATTATTTTCCCTTGTATATCAATTTTCATAACAGCCATTATTTGCTTTATTGAAGATGGCTGTCTCCTCCCATGCAAGATAGAGGCAGCATGTACCTCTCAACCACTGGTTCTTTTCTACCAAACTGCATGGCATCACAACCAAGAAGACAGTTATCATCAGGGCCTGGATTTTGATAACCTGAAAATATTTTAAAAATGGCCTAAAATATGACTCAAAAATGTAATATGCAGGGCCCAGATTTTGATGACCTGAAAATATGCAAAAAATGACCTAAAGGAGAAAAGAAGATAAAATTTACATTTCTGTAACCAGCAGCTCATCTGAGATTTATATATTTAAGAGCACTGCATAGGATACAAGAAAAAAAAACATGACATGTCATCAAAATCCGGGCCCTGGTTATCATCATAGTCAGTGCCATGTTTCTGTTGTTTACATAAACCCAGGTTTATTCAGTCTAAGCTACCTTGCATAATCAAAAATCAGTGCCAAGAACTCACCATAATCATCCCATCATGATTTCCAGTCTTTTTCCATTTGCAATGTGCAGTTTTCTTTGTTTTCATGCTCGATGCTCAGCTTGCACCATTTCAGAATCATTATCTTGGTACTAATACAAATTGCAGCTTTGGAATGGACCCAGTAACACAATTTAAATATTCACCTCCATGGAAATATCTCCACTGGTTCACAATTTCTACATTGAACAGATGTGCAGATATAACTTCCATTTCTTTTCAGGAAGCAGAGCTAAATGGATAAAAGCTTACACAAATGGCATGAGGCTCTTAGACAATACGGTATGTGAATTAAAAAATATATCATTAGTAAAGTAATACAAAAACAAGTATTTTCACTTCAGAATTTTTTCTCCATCTGGACCATAACATTTTAAATTATCACCATAAGTGTAGTAAAACAATTTTCTAATGATACACTCTACAAAAGTGAGTTTGTTGAAGTACCTCAATTTCACATTTCCACATGCTAGACATGACTGATTTAGAACACTTACACTTAAAAACTATGAGGGAGCACAAAATTGTTTCAATTGCATAATATACTGCACCTTTGTTATTATGGCTTGAGATTAATACTATAATAATTCAAACTGGAGAGGATAAGAGGTCTTGCAGTACCTTCCCCTATCGCACTACAGCCCCAGTGGGCCCAGGCCTACCTCCATGAACTTCTTCGGTTTTTCTAGATCTTATACATTCGGTAGGACTCCTTGGGTGGGTGATCAGCTTGCCACAAGGCCTCTACCTGTACACAAACACAGAAAAACGCGCGCACACAAACTAAACATCCATACTATGAGTGGGATTCGAACCCACGATCCCGGTTTCCAAGCAAGCGAAGACAGTACATGCCTTAGACTGCTCGGCTGCCGTGACCGGCCTTGCAGTACCTACTTTGAATAAATATGATAATACTGACTGCAGTAATTATTAAAACATGTCACTTTCATAAACTTAATACAAAAATGTAACCAGCATCATTATCTCAAATTTAACTCCGTATGTAGAAAGTTACTGGGGTTCATCAGTGTCAATTTCAGAGTAATAGATCAACTGCTGATTTTTTTTTTTGCTTGTCACAACCTGGCTACAGATCCAGAGGTCCGGGTTCAATTCCCAGCACTACCAGATTTTCTTTAGGAGAAGTAGTGGGTCTGGAATGGGTTCCACTCAGCCTCATGATGATAATTGAGGAGCTGTTTCATGAAAATAGCAGCTCCGGTTTAGAAAACTGAAATTAACAGCCATGGGGATTTGTTGCGCTGACCACGTGATACCCTCTACCCGCAAAAGTTGACACTAAACTTCGCCGAAAAGCAGCGGTCACTCGGTCAGTATGGTTCACTTGTGGATTGAAATCACGGAGTTTGTTTTTGTTGTTGTTTAGTCACATACTGGAGAAAAAAATGGGAGTACAATGGGACAGTACATCAGATATTCATAGCCTTCAAGAAATCCTATGAGTCAGTCAGGAGACCACTGTGCAGTGTTCTCACTAAATTTGATACTCATGAAGCTAACAGAGCTAATTAAAATGTGCTTAAATGAAACCTATGGGAAAAAAGTTCATACGAAATTTTTTAGGAAATGGACCACTAGGAAAACGTGCATAGATTGGAGGATAATATTAAAGTGGTTCTCAAATACAGAGGATGGAAGGGCATGATCTAGATTAATCTCAATTAGGATAGGGACCAGCGACAAGCTCTTGTGAACACGATTATGAGCCTCTGATTTCCATAAAATGCTTGGATTTTCTTGAGCAATGAGCAATTACTGGTTTCTCAAGGAGGACTCAGCTGGGTGGATTTAATTTAGAGGTTAAGATAGGAAACAGGATTGTTGTTATTTTTGGACTTAACTAGAGGTACCTATGAAAACAAACCCAGAAATGGATTGCTAAACAGGATTCTTACAATCAGATATATAGTGCGGGATTGTCGATGTTCTAAATGACAACCACGTAGAACTGTAACAATTGCATATATTAAATTGTATAAATTGAAGGTACAGAATAGCTGTGAAGCTATGTGGAATGTTCAAAAGTTGGCTGGCTCTCAAAAGGGCAGTTTGTTCCATCGCAAGTGCGCTGGCAGAATTTGCTCCTTCGTACGTGGGGCAATCCAAATTTTCTGAAATTTGAATTCTGCGCGCGAATGGTTATGAGCACATCGAAATACCGCTAGGTGTATCCTCACACATCCTTCTTGAATCAGTGTGGCAAGCGGCATCAAGTTGAGTGGTTGGGTTTATTGTTGGTGAACGTATTTCCATTGTGTTCCCGTGAGTTTGCGGTTTTGCGATGGCTGATCTGAGAGAGCAAGCTTTTTGTGACATCAGTTTAGGCCAGACACAAACTTACAACTGGTATAAGCGTTTTAAAAATGGCCGAACATTGACTGATGATGACAATCGTTCGGGACGGCCGTCAACGGGCAAAACGCCAGAAAATGTCACGAAAGTTAGGGATCTGATTCTGCAAGATCGTAGACTGACCATCCAAGTCCTCTGTAACACCTTGGGACTAACTTATGGTACATGTCAACGAATTTTGTCAGAGGAACTGAACATGAGGAGGATTGCGGCGAAGTTTGTGCCACGACTGCTGCAAAATGAACAGAAGCAGCATCGCTTGGAAGTCTGCAGGGAACTTCAGCAACAGCTTCAAGAGGATCCAAACTTTCTTTCGAAGGTTGTCACTGGTGATGAAAGTTGGGTTTATGGGTACGACCCTGAAAGCAAGCAGCAATCGTCGCAATGGAAGAGCCCTTCTTCACCTCGGCCAAAAAAAGCTCGACAAGTCAAGAGCAACATTAAGTCCATGTTGATCTGTTTTTTTGATACTGACGGGATTGTTCATAAGGAGTTTGTCCCTCCTGGTCAGACAGTCAATAAAGAGTTCTATCGCGATGTTCTAAGGCATTTGAGGGAGAACATGAGGAGAAAACGTCCAGAGAAGTGGCGCACGAACGACTGTGTACTCCACCATGACAACGCACGACCACATACAGCTTACATTGTACAGGAATTTTTGGCTAAAATCAAGATGGCAGTTGTTCCCCACCCACCGTACTCGCCAGACTTAGCTCCATGTGACTTCTTTCTCTTCCCCAAGATTAAAATCAAATTGAAGGGGCGAAGATTTTATACAGTTGAGGAAATTCAAGTGGAAACGCAGACGGTATTAAACACCCTAACAAAGAAAGACTTCCAGGATGCATTTGAAAAGTGGCAGAAACGCTGGGATCGGTGTATGCACTCCCAAGGGGACTACTTTGAAGGTGATGGTGCAGAATAAGATCTAGGTAAGATGTAATAGTTTTTATTAATATATTTCGGGAACTTTTGGATTGCACCATGTAGTTTGGCCAAGTCTTACGACCATTCAGCTGGCCTGTCTGGCCGGTGATGTAGTGCCGCATGCGCCGGTAGAAACAGTTGCCTACAGTGTTGTTGCTGGAGTTGTGGCAGCTGCGTTAGTTGCCTGGTTGCAAAGCATAGTCGCTGGAGACTTGCGGCAACTATGTCAGTTGCCTGGTTGCAGAGCATAGTCACTGGAGACTTGCGGCAACTGCATTAGTTGCCTGGTCACAGTGAAGAGCTGATGACTCTGATGACTGATCGCTCTAAACTGAATGTGATCACTGACGATTGCGAGTTTTGGGCTCCGCCTTTTATACCATGCTTGCTGGGCGGAGCTAAACTTGCAGTTGCAATGTGAGCGCTGATTGGCTAGCACACGCGATGATCTAAATCGGTGGTTCTCAAACTGTGGGGCGCGACCCCCAGGGGGGGGCGCAGCATACTTTCCTACAGATAAAAATTAAAACTGCCCTAAGTCAATTAGAAAAGTAACAAAAAATAAAAATACATGTAGAAAAACTTTTGATGAGTACAGGCTTTAATTATCATGAATTTCAAAATAACTAATAATTATTCTCTTTACCGGCAATTATAAAAC